TAGCTTTTTTCCCCACTGATTTAATACTCTGCCTCTGTGATACAGCAAACTTCCATATGGACTTTTATCTTTTTCTGGATTTATATTCTCACTTACCTGTCTGTTCTTATCTAAGTAAGTACTTTCTGATTTTAATCACTGTAGCTTATACTTTTTGATACATTAATAGCCCCACTGTAGCTACACTGAAGTACATACACATTGTTTCTTTTTCTGAAATTAGTATTTTTTCTAGATACATTTTTGAGTAATTGTATTTGGTTTTAAAGTATATTTATTGGATTTTTGTTTCACAAGGTATTGAAAGCATAGACTTGGAAAACTTTCTATCTTTACAATATTAGGTAATAGAATTTAAATGTCCTTATTCAGGACATTTTAATAGGTATTGCACATTTGCTGTATTGAGTGTTCTGTAGTTTTTGTTTTTTTATTTTATTGGTGGGACCAGGGATTGAACTCAGACCCTTAAGCTTGCCAGGCAAGCGCTTATTCTACCGAGCCATCTCCCCAGCCCCAGTTTTTATTTTTTTAGAAAATGATAAAACTTTGAGAGTTTTAAGTCAAATATTTTAAGAATAGCTTGCATTGTTTTTACTAGTCCTTATTTGGGCCTCTGATTGCCTTTCACCTGCTTTTGGCACTTGAGCTGGCTCTAGATCTGATATAAACTCTGCCCTGACATCAAGGTCATCTCTGTAGCCTTCATTTTCTCGCCTCCCACATGTAATAGCCTGACATTCAGTTGGTAGCTCTTCTGAGGGTGTTCAACACTGGGTTGCTTGGCAACCAAAAGCTTATTAACAGGTTGAGAAGATTCTTGTTTTCTTTTTTCTCTAGATTTAGATGTTGATATCATTTGCTGGGTTATATTCATGTGCACAAAGAATGAAGAGAAAGGATGAAAACTGTAGAGAGTCAAAACATAACCTCCCCGGGCCAGTTTATTACATGTGTATGGCACATACATTTATCATACATTTGCACTATCTTACATATATTTATATATCTTTTTAATATTTTTAGATTTCTTAAATTTCCTAACTATAGTGTTACTTCTATGTAAATAATGAATTTCATCTTTTCTAGTGATGTGGAGCATTTTTTCATATGTTTATTTGCTTCAGTAGTTCTTCCTCTGAGAAGTGTGTGTTCATCTCGGATGCCTATTTCTGGAATGGTTCTTTAAGTTTGGGGCCTTAATGTTTTTTAGTTCTTTATAAATTCTAGAGAGCAGATCTTTGTATGAGTGCTTATTAGTTAAGATTTTGTCCAAATTTGTGGGTTCTCTTTTCACTCTGTTGATAATTTCTTTTGATGTGCAAAAACTTCTCAGTAAGAGTTGGTCCCAGATGCTAATTCTTTCAAGTGTTACCCATGCGATTTGATTTTTGTTCATGAACTGTTTGCCTACCCCTTTGTCTTCAAGAGTTTCTTATACTTTCTCTTCCAGGAGATTTAGTGTTTCTGTTTTAATGTTAACATCTTTAATTCATTTTGACTTTAGCTTAGTGCATGGTGGTAGACCTGGGTCAAGTTTTTGTTTTCTCAATTACTGCTATACTGTTTCTCAAGTAAATGTTTGTTTAAAAAAAGAAGGGTAATAAAACAAGAGACAAGAAAAAAAAATGTCATAGGACTGACCTGCTACAGAGCTGTATATGGTTAAATTTCTAAATTTCACTGTAAAAATATGTAACTGTTCCTATTTTTTAACTTTTTTTTCTTTTTTTCTTCACATTCTGTAGGGATTTAAAGTTTAATATATCAATACTTGATGAAAAATACCTGTTCCATGCTATGTCTGAGATGTTTGATATTCAGACAGATGGTGAGGTTAAGCTCAACTGCCTATGTTATAGGGTAATAATATCATTTAGCTTCTCTTCTGGAGGGTTAACAACTTAAGTTTGCAGACCAAAAATTAGAGAAAAAGAAGGGCTCCAATGAGAGCCAACATTTTGGTCCTAGCCTTTCAAGGTCAGTGAGGACTCAGGACATAAGAGAAACTGTACTATAATATCCTGTAACGCAGTGAAGTCCCACATTTTTTGATCAAGGAGATTATGTGACCACAGAGGAAAGTGATCGACAATGTAGAGTGTGCCTAAGGAGAGTCACATGGAGAGAAAACATTCTCTCAGGCTTTCACAGAGAACAAATTGGTAAAGCAATGGCCGTGACTCATCCACATGGCTGACACTGACGGGATATACAAACTGCAGTACAGGGTTTCAGGGTAAATCCTGAGGGGATTTGACTGACCTTGTCAAATACAAAAGTTACATTTCTTGTTATATAGGTCTTACTTTATCTTGGTCTTAACCATCCAGCAGACAAATATAAAAACAAGGTGTAAAAAGTAAAGTTATATTAGTATGCTAAGCTATAAAAGGCTCTAGTCAACAACTTCTGACATTGCCAGTCCTATGGATGACCCACTACTATTATGGACTGCTTGCCTATATTGGATATTATTTTGCTGAATTCACGCACCTACAATATTGAAATGGCAATGGAATACCCATCTCTGACAAAAATAAACAAAAAAAGGGGATATAAATGAAGTACCATTTTGTATCTGTATATGCAAAATAGGATAGATATACAGCTATTTTCTCTTAATTCAATGAGAAGAAAGATTTGTACTAATATTGTTTGGACAGGATATCATGTCTGCATCTTGTATTATGAATATCCACTACAAAAACAGCAATATGCAGTGTATTAATTATTGAAACTGTCATACTAATCAATTTTGGAACTGTCTCATACTTATTTGTTTCTCAATAAAATTAATAAAAATTAGTAAAATAAAAATTAGGTGTTTGCAGTAAAGAAAAAGAATTTTATCTTTCTAGTATTCTAATGAATTTCATCCTTATATGACTTCATTTAAATTTATCATGGACTACAGCCTAGAATGATGCTGAATAATGGTAGTGATAGGCATCTTTATTGATTCTGTGGTATGAGTTTTATCTCAAATCATCTTTTACATGAAATCAGAGAATTTTAGGAAAGTATAAAATCTTTTACCATTATGACAATGGTATGAACATAATTTCTGGCTAAGAATAAGAGCAATAATAACTATCTGAATCCCTAGAAGTTTACCTCTGAGGTAAAAGAGCTATCTTCCTAAAAAAATGACACATTAGAACATTGTGACTTACAGAGTTTATTTTCAAAATTATATGACACCACAGGGTTATTTTTTGGGGGAGAGGCGCACTGAAGATCAGTAGAGTAGGCTTGACCTTCCTAGATACTCCATTATTGGTAACTCAAAATCAGTGCAGAGTGGCTTCCTGTAGCCAGGATGATCCTCAGTGGGCTACTAATGTGGGTTAGGCCTTCCACGAGCACTGGCTCAGCCCTTCTTTCCTGGGTAGGCCTTGGCAGATGCTGCTGTTGTCTGTAAACCTCTGGCGAAAGTGCAGGGGTAGCAGATTATTCCAGTGCAGGTGACTTGTAGTTAACTCTCCTACTAGTTGAATTCCACAGAGCAATAAAAAACAGAAATTTTAAATAGTCTCAAAAGCAATCAAGGAAGAAGTGTCCTTGCTGATTTTTCTTTGACCTTTTAGCTGGCTTTAGATTATTATTACAGAGAGAGGTTTTATACTTTTTCTTAATACTGGGGAAAATTTTACTTTTTGCCCAGCTTACCAGTTTCTATATCGGTTGTAAAGTCTTGCTTTTGTAAATTTAAATTTTGCTTGAAATAACTGGTTAATTTCTTAGTAATTTTCATGTTAATATTTTAGCCAGTAGTTTGTTATTTAAAAAATGTTACACTTAAGGTAATCTTGTAGAATGGCCCATTGTGTTTTTTATTTATTGTTCCTGGTTAATGTTGGCACGTTGATTATCTGTGTGATGCCACCACATAATTACTAATACTAACCCTGATTCCATTTGATCCTGTTATTGATATGATCTTAGTGGAGAAACGGCTCTGAGAACAGAGTCCTAACTTGACAGTATCTGTTTCTGTTCCTGTTTCTAATGAGGATTTCTCTGTATGGCCTTGTGAACCACTCTGCCTATGCTGTAAATAAATAACGAGCAGAACTGCCGACCTGTTTGATATTTGATGTTCAGTGGATTTACTGACTGATGTTTCTTAAAACTCTTAAGAGACACAAAACTAGTTTCAGTGGTAATAAGAAAATGACTGTGATACTTATATTTCAGGTCCTTTTACAGATTTGTATTTAGCATGTCATATTCTCAGACATTTTTTGTTTTATGTACATTTAGATGAGAAAGAAAAGGAAATTAACATAAAATTCTGTGGTAAGCACTAGACTCTTTATTTGCATCTCATTTAACTTGTAAGTTTCCAGCTAAACTGTGCAATGTATCAGTTATTATTTCCATTTTATAGACAAGGAGGCCAGACATCTATAATAAACTTGCTCAGTAAGTGTAAGAGCCAGACTATGAACTCACATCTTTGTGTATCTTCTAAACTAACCTTTATAGTGTGAGGTCTTCAAGAATACTTTTTTTTTTTGTCTTTAAAAAAAGGGTAGGGGCTGGGGAGATAGCTCAGTAGAATAAACACTTCCCTGGCAAGTGCAAGGGCCTGAGTTCAATCCCCAGTTCCGCCAAAAAAAAACCAAAACCAAAAAACAAACAAACAAACAAAAAAAAGGGTAACAAATAGGAAAAAAAAAAAAAAAGACACAAAAAATAAATAAATTAAGCTTTATAGTGTGAGGTCTTCAAGAAGACTTTTTTTTTTTTTTTTTTTTTTTGGCGGAACCAGAGATTGAACTTAGACCCTTGCACTTGCCAGGGAAGCGCTTCTTCTACTGAGCCATCTCCTCAGCCCCAAGAATACTTCTTAATGTTACATACATTGAGGAGACTGTTTACCAATGAAAGTTGGTAGCTAATAACGAAGAAGCTACATTATCTTTTGAGTAGAAACATTTAATATGTAAGATGTTTTAAATATCTTAATTTTCCTTTCACTGATTCCTTTCTAGGATGTTGGCAAAGGATGAACTGATGACTATTCTTCAGAAATGTTTCAAAGTTTTCAGTTCCTCTTCTGAAAACCAGCTTGGCAGCACAAGAAAGAGAATAGAGGAGTTCCTGTCCCAGTTTCAGAGCCTGGGTGGTAAGGGTTGAATATCCTGTAAATTCTTCTGGCCCTGACAGTTATTTAACTGAAACGCCATGGACAAGCCCTTGTTATGATGCGCTGAGGGGTGAAGATGCAATGGAGCCCATGATCTGTCCGTGTTAGAAGCCCCAGCATGCCGAATTGTAATTCCAGAATAGGTCAGATGTTGATCTCCTGTATGAGAGAGAGGGAGGGGAGAAGGAACAAGAGGGAAAGGGGGGAGAAGAGAGGAAGAGCATCAAATGGAAAGAAAAAAAATTCTCAGTTTCAGGATTTGGTTTTTTTTTAAAAGAAATCCAAAAATTAGAATAGCAGTTCATCATAATTGAGAGCTTCTCTTAGGTGCTTCTTAAACATTTCATCAAGTTTTTTATAGAGTTTAAAAACTGTATGAACTATTCATGAGCTTGAACATTTAATAGTTATAAACTGCTTTCACCGCAGTAGGGCTCCTTGGTATGCTGCTTTCCAGAATATATATGAGCTTGTTTTGATCTGACTTACAAAGGCTTAGATTTTTCTCTCCTAAATGAACTGAGGCATCCCAGCACTTCTCAGTGTTGTAAGGTTATAGTTTAGTGTATTTGTTCAGCGACCACATAAGATTTATATTTGCTGAACGTTTGGAGTGCCTAACTTTGTATAGGCGGTCATTTCCTGTTCTCTGAAGCTCCAGATCTTCTGTGTTCTAGTGAGGCACCATGATTGATACTGCTCGTTGGCTTGTCCTGGGCTGTTCTTCTGCGCTATTGCTAACCTAATCAGTACCACATTGTTTTGATCACAACAAAACAAAATAATTGGTGTGTACCTTTTACTGTACTTTTCCACTAATTAGGGGGAGCTTTAATGGAGGTTACAGAAAGAGACTGCTTGGAATATAAGTGCAGAGAATTAGACATGGCATTGTGACAGTTTTTATTTTGAGTGTCCATTTTAATTCTTTCTGTTTTGGCATGTGTTACTTTGTCTTGAAAATCCTTTGGATTTAGGAACTGCTTTTGCAAAAACCTCTCCCTGTCTCTCCATTGCTCCAGCATAAGGTGTATGATGAGTGCTCAGTTATGTTAGATGAAAAGAGAGGTTGACTACAATGGCACGAGCAGATAGAATGAAGTTCTCCATAGGCACTAAGGGAGTTTCCGCCAGGTTATGTGTGCACATTGTTCTTTTGCACCACAGCAGGACCTAAACTATTTTTCAGAACTTGAAATGGGGTGAGTATGTAACTCAGCAGTAGAGTGCTTGCCTAGCTTTTGTGAAACCCTGGGTTCAGTCTCCAGCACTTTTTTAAAAAAGAAAACCAGAACGTGCTGATTCAGAACATAAAAATGTTAAAGGGCTTGAAGTTGGAATACTTGAGTCCAACTACAGTCAGACAGTAAAGTCCAGGAAGAGAAAGTAGTTGGTTTGAAACTAGACATCTGGCTAATGGCAACACCTAGATTGGCACCCACTTCTCTTAACCAGTAGTTCATGTGTTTTCTCACGAGTTCACAATTTTAGTGTCCCTAATTGTGGTAACTTGACCAACAAGGGATTACCCCAAGGGGTATAAGTAGGGTCAAAGGTTTAGAAGCATATAGAAGTTTCAGTCTTATAAAATTGGCCACATGCAAATTTCTGTAAAAAAGAAATTGCAAATATAATAATTTTTGTGATCCTGAGGATTGAGCTCCAGGTCTTCAAACTGAGCTGCATCCCCAGCCCTTTTTATATTTATTATTTTGAACACAGTCTCTGAGTTATGCAGACTGGCCTGGAATGTGAAATCTTTCTGCCTCAATCTCAGAGTGCTAGAGTACAGGCATGAGCCACCATACCCCACCAGGAGAATTTTAGAGTTCATATAACATGAGCTAGAGAACAAACTTTGTGATATGCTAGCACTCAGAAAGACTTTCTCAAACAGAAAGGTTGAAGATTTAAATGATTTATAGTCTAAAAGAGTGAATTGACTTGACAAGGAAAGCCACTGTCTTGAAGAAATGGCTATTTCTCAGTTTTTCAGAAATCATATAATAAAACTCCCAGAACTGAGTGAGTAGAAGTATTTGACAGTGTGCTATCTCTGGTTCTTTACCCATAATTACACAATATAGTTTTGCCTCAAAATTATAGTTGGAAAAGTTGGTAGTGGCGGCCAGTACTCCAGGAGGCTGAAGCAGGATGGTGAATGTTCTGGTGTAACCTAGGTGACTCAGTCACTTGAGACCCTCGCTAAAAAATGGGCCAAGGATGTAACTTGGTGCACAAGCCCTTGGTTAAATTCCCAGTACCACTAAAAAATTTAAAATTATAGTTGGGGAGGGTTACGTAGATGTACAAGTTAATGAAATGGAGGAAAGATTTAGTAGATAACCTTAAGTTGTTTTTCTTGAGCTAGGAATGATTAATAGCTAAAAAGAAATTTATTATTTGAAAATAATGTGTATTCTCCAGCCATGTCCTCTTGTCTTAGATTAAGGCAAACCAAGCATGTGATGTCACAATTTCTAGGTTGCACTTGCACTTCGAGGAGGGGATCAGAGAACATGCGCTTCAGAGGCACAGCTGCACATTTTTGCTCGTTAGGACTGTCCGGTGCCTTTGCTGAAGAACCATGGCCTACTCTCTGTTTTAGTGGATGATTTCACAACTTATGCACACTCCCCTCTTCATGCTCAAAGAATTTGGGGCCAAAAATAGTGAATTGGAAGGTTGAAATCAAGTTTGCCAAGGTGTAGTTTGTGTTGTTTACAATCTTAACTAGTCAAAGAGTTTCAATTTGTGTGATTTTTTTTTTAAGCTATTTATAGCTGCACAGATATTTAGAGCTTTTTGCACGGACTATGTTTGGTTATATTTTGTTTTCACAGTGGTAACACTTTTAAAACTCAGTAGTTTGTTTTTGAAGACCTCATTACAGTTTAAATTATGTAGTGTTTATTGACCTTTAGCTTCTGAAACAAACCTTGATTCTTCCAGATGAAACCTTGGTTTGATGAAACCTTGATCCTTTGCCAAGTTGGGGTGGGAGTAAGGGTGTAATTTTTACTTCCTTTGGATTAGCACAAATGTTTGTTCTCTTGACTTGGATTTCCCGTCATTGCAACAGATGCCAGAGAAGAAGATGCTTCTGGGTTGCAGCCAAAGGAGCTTCCAAAGACAGACCTCTATCATCTTCAGAAGGTCAGGTGGTCTCTTTTCCTTTCAGTTACATTGTTTTTTGCTGCTCCCTTTTCTCCCTCCTTGTCTAGATTTCTCTTTTTAAACCACAACCAAAAACAAAACAGAGCTTGTAATTCATGCATAAATTGAGCATCCTATTTATCCCAATGCTGTCCTCCCTTCTAATGTAAACAGGCTGCAGTTTACTAGACAGTGTAGATGGAAACTTTCTGTAGTCTCAGAAAAGCCACTAAATGGCACCAAGGGAAATAGGAACATGAGTACAAAAATTATTTTTGATTATTTATTGAATGTATTTGTTTTTCTGTTTGATCAAACAAATTAAAAAAGGGCTGTCACTGGTTTTAGATACATCTCTTGATTTTTTAAAAAATGCTTATTCACATTATAATATAGCGGAAATTGGCCCACGTATGTCTAGTGTATTCTTTTCCCCTGTGTTCTAACTTTAGGATCTCGATTTTCAGATGAACCTTCTTTGTACCAGATTACCAGATTGTAATAATTATAGCAGAAAACTTCAGTTTAACTGAGACAGCACATGGATTGCATTCTGTTAGTATGGCAAAAAGGCAGGGGGCTAGTAGCTAGCGTTGTTGTCCTCCTTCTCCTTTCTTTTCCTCTTCTCTCTTCTCTTTTCTTCCTCTTCCTGCTTTTCTTAAGTGAACCAATAGATTAGGAATAGCAAGCATGCTGTTGTAATTTAGTATGAAGTAAGCTGCCCTTTTCCTCTCTCCTTGAAATTTGACATATTTTTAAAGTAGAACATTAAATAGAAGAAATTTCTTGCAGATCAGCTTAGACATAAATAAACCCGTTTTGATCTGGTTTTTGCTCTGCACAAAAAGAGCATCAGCCTCCACCTAAATAACAGTTCCCTCTGAAAGTTTTTCTATCTCAGGATTATCAAGAAAGGTGTATTCTTGTACCCATAGTCCTTACTGGAAATGAAGGAGTTAAGAAGATCAAGTAAGAAGCAAACCAAGTTTGAAGTACTCAGAGAAAAAGTCGTGAATTTCATTGACTCTTTGGTAAGGTGAGTCATGCTCGGAAGAGCTGAACATCACGCTTTTCCCCAGAGTAACATTGGTATAAGGGCTGTCCATCGCCAATTTGGGTGTTTTCTTTCAGTCTGTTAGGTTCCTCCATCACAGTTTAGAATTATTTATTACCTTTTTAGCCTTATTAAGATGTCTAATCAGAAACTAGTTCTGCAGTTTTAAGCACCAGACCTGGTAGTTCACATCGGTAACTAAAGCCCTGCGAAGTCCACAGCAGAAGGGTTGAGTTTGAGACCAGGTATACTGCATAGTGAGACCCTGCCTCGAGGAAACAAAACAGAAAGAGGAAGGGAAGGTGGCAGGGCACAGGTTTATGTTGGAGCCCATCCATTAGGCTAGGTGGGGAGACTGAGGAAACAAGAATGGTTTTCTCCTTTCTGATAGCAAAGTGTTTATGTTATACCTTATCATTGCCAGTCTGGTATGAGTTAGAGCTGGATCTAGGCCAAACCCAGAAAACAGCAATCTTGCCATACTTCTGTATTTTGTCCTCAGAAAGCAAGTTTTAATTTTAAAGAATATTAGTGCAACTCGTTATAAATACTAAATGTCTGTTGAGGCAGGCATCTTTGCAGTAAATGTGGAAGACTGCTCCAGTTTTGCCAGTATTTTACGATAATTCCTTTTCGGAAAATGTAGGTCATCTTGAATCATGGAGTCATTTGAACCACAACACTAGTTTTTGTTTTTGTTTTTTAAAGTGAAATCACCTATCTAAACTACCTTTCAGAGGGCTGGCCAAATAGCTCAGCAGATTAAAGTGCCTGCTTAGGTAGCCATACGGGCTGGGAGTTCAATCCCCTGGCCTGCTGTGCCAACCCCGCCCCTGGGGCACACTGAAAAGGCAGTTGAGACTGGGTGTGGTGGCATGTGCCTGTAATCCCAGCACTTGGAGGCTGTAAACAGGAGGATCACTATGTGTCCGATCTACATAGTGAGACCCTGTACATCCTGTCCTAAATAAAAAAATAAAAATAAAAAATAAAAAACAACCTTTCAAGAGTTTAGACCCTATTACAGGAAAAATAAGTATACAAAATGAAGTGATTTAATACTTTAAAGAAAAAAAGGTTTATCATTGCTTATTGTCTTTTAATGGTTCAAACTCAATAGCAGGAGAGACACTAAATGGAATAACATAATGAAAGAATCACAACTTGAACATTGAAAATAAAGAATGGGTTTTTGATAGTAACCTGTCTTTCCTCAGAGTGAAAAGTTCCATTTTCCAGTACAGTGTGGGAGCAGAGTCATTGTCCAAATTTATCAGAAAGCAAGATTAATGCAATGAAAGAGGGGGAAAATAATCAGCCCAGTATAGTAAAAAGAAGATTAAAAACAGAAGTATCTTATAGCAAAATGATGCCTTCCAGTGTTAAATTGACCTACTGGTCAAATATTACATTTTACACCTGGTAGAGTTAGCCTTGTTCTACAGGGCCTTCCTGTTCTTGTAACTTCTAGCCCTAGGCTTCTGGCTTTTCTTTTTGTCAAATTGTAATTAAAAATAACTTTTCCAAGTGATTTAGCATCATTTATAATGCAAATGTCAGGTACTTGAGTTCCTTTAAATCTCAAGTGATAGGCTGTAAAACCTTAGCAGCTAGACTGGGCATGTACCTATAGTCTCAGTGCTTGGGAGGCTGAACACAGAAGGATCACTATGAGTCCAGCCTGTGTAGTGCGACTCTGGACCCTGTATTGAATACATAAAAAAGTAAAATAAAATCATGCCAGCTAGTCCCCTTTAATGGGAAATGATTTTTTTGACCTAATATATCAGACTTTTTAACCTTTCTGAAATTTATTGAAACAATGCTGAGCATGATTGAAATGAATTCTGTTTTGAAACCAGAGTCTTGCATACTAGCATTTACTGTCTACCAAGATTATCTGTCCCAGGAATGAAGAGATTAGAACTGTAGCGTGATAAAACTAAAAGGTACATGAGGGCTCATGTAGCAGCTAAAGCCCAGAGAGGTTCTGAGTCTGCCAGTGTGACGCAGCCCCAGTCTCCTAAGACCCAGAGAAGGTCTTCTCCATTTCTGCACACTGTCCCTAAGACCTACCATACAGATATGAACACACTTGGGGTTCTAGAGAAAAGAAGTCTGTTAAAAATAAGTATTAGAAGGCCGGGGAGATGGCTCAGTAGAATAAGCTCTTCCTTGTCAAGTGCAAGGGCCTGAGTTCAATCCCTGGTTCCGCCAAAAAATAAAAAGAGTAAGTTTCCTGGCCAGGGATATAGTTCAGTGGCACACCCCCTGCCAGCAAGTATGAAGTTCTGAATTTGGTTCCCAGTACCAAAAAAAAAAAAGTAAGTTGCCAAATCCAAGGGAAAATTACCTCTTTCTAAGTTACTGTTTTCACCAAAATTAAGACTCAACTTCATAACCCTTTTCCATAGGACTATTAGTTCCTGAAGAGCCGTCTGTTTGGGGGAAGGCCTATCATTTTTTTATAAACAGATCTAAATCCAAAATGATTGTCACACAAGGCTGTGGTGCCAGATTTATTACTTATTTTTTCCCCACATAAGATAAATTGTGGAAATTATCTTTATATCCATCTCTGAGTCTACATTTGGACAAAAATTAGGATGTGTGGTGCTGTTTTGTCAGTTTTTAAACAGATGTAGTCCAGTAGAAACAAAATAAAGGCAAATATTTTTTAAGGCCCTCTGCCTTGGGATTTGCCTGAATTTGTAAACATTAAGTGTAAAGACATTTAGGAAGAGAAGCAAATGTGAGGCAGTAGTTTGTATAACTGATTTTGTCTCATTGCCTTGTTAGATTTCTAATCTTTATTAATAGCAGGAACTTGAACAAAGTATTTTAATGACATCCATGATGGTGATTGAGAAACAACTGCACCATGGTGATAGGAAGAATTTGTGGTTAGAAATTACAGATTGATAGCCACCCAACCAGGCATTAACATCACAGAAATAATTTCCTTAGACTATAGCAAAATTATCTCTCTAAAGTACTTGAGATGATAGTAGAGTATTGTCCCTTGGTGAGTATCATACTGTTTTGCAAATGGATTTTACTCCAGCAGACTGGAGAAGGAATACCATCTAGAACCAGAATGAATAGTCTAAGTAGCTCTTGAGGTAGGGAGAACAAGATGGTGAACAGTAATATGCCAATTTTTATTTCCTATCTTCAAAATCCCTGACCATGATAATCCCTGACCACTTGGAAGAACGGGTATATCTTTGCTGTTGGAACTGAAGTAGTTACTTCTCTTTGCCTACACTAACTGGAAAAGAGCTAATAGAGTCTATAGTGTAGCTTACATACATACTTTGAGTTCGGGCTGCACTAAGCCCTGGAGGTCTGCTTTATGGAGACATAGGCATGTGAGTTAGCTATTTTAATCCACTTAGTAATTTGTTGCTGTCTTTGGTTGTGTGGCCGGCCAGAGCTGCTCCCTTCCAGCTGGCCCCCTCTAGGCTCCCTGGGAGCGATTTCCCTGCCATGCCACACCAGCTGGTGGGCTTATTGTAGATCCAGAAGGAGCTTCCTAATGCCTTGTTTTCTAAGTTCAGAGTTCACCAGTTGACTTGCCATTTAGTGTATAGGTGAAAAAGAGAATTCCAAGTGATGCTGGGTTTTTTTAACTGAAATTTTATTAATGAATGACTGGCCATACTGGCATATGCCCATAACCCCAGCATTCAGGAGGCTAAGGCAGAAGGATCACTGAATTTGAAGCTAGACTGAACAATATAGCAAGACTCTTATCTCAAAAAGAAAAAATGTAATGATCAATTTATTTTTCAATATTCCGAAACTAAAATTTAGTCTTTGTTGCCTACAGAAGTAAAAAATTCAGTGTATAAAGAATTTCTAAATTTCTGTTAAAGACATTAGCTAAAATGTGTGTGTGAGATCCAGAAAGTATTCCCTGAGCTGTAAATCTTCAATCTGAGGGCTGTTCTCTTTTTTTTTTAATGTATTTGGTTGTTACCGGGTCTCACTATGCAGCTTGGACTCATGGTGATCCTCTTACTTTCAACCTCCCCAGCGCTGGGATTACAGGCATGCACCACAATGCCCGGACTGTGGCGGGCTCAGCACACCCTTGGGGTGGGGGTGGCATGGCATGTGGCACCAGGTATCAAACCTCAGTTCCTGAGCTTGCCTGAGCTTGCCTAAGTTGCCTAAGCAGGTGCTTTAGTCCATTGAGCTATCTCACCCGCCCTGAGGGCCGTTCTTAACACCAAGAAAGGAATTAAATGTTTGCTATGGAGAGAATGCAGATATCTGTTTTCTGAAGAATTTAAGAAATTCATTAGTATTTTAAGAAATTATACTTCAAAGATTTTAAGCTAATATGTGAAGGTGTATGTCCATAATCCTAAAGGTTTAACTCAGATCTGAAATACATATGTTTCTTATAAAAAATGTAGAGGAAATTTTTTAAAAACCATGGGTTAACTGATGGCAAATACCTATAGCCTCAGCCTACTGGGAGGCTGAGGCAGGTGGGTTGAAAGTTCAAGCCCATCGTGGGGAACTTAGCCAGACCCCCATCTCAAAAAGTTCAAAAAGGGTGGGGATGTAGCTCAGTACTACAGGCCTCAGTACTACAAAAAATAACAATAGAAATTATGGATAAAGTGTACTTTTGAGTGAAACTGCACTGGATCCACTATTCGAGTTTTGTTTCTTTTGCTTATTAATTTTGTTTGTTAAGTACATTGTTTAGCTGCACAGAGATCTGATAAGACTTTTTATTTTATACTGAAAATAAACCTGTGCCTATCCCGATTCTGAGACCTGACTCTGCTATTTCAGAGAATACCTGCTGCCTCCTGAAACTCAGCCTGTGCATGAGGTGGTGTACTTCAGTGCCGCGCACACTCTGCGGGAGCACTTGAATGCTGCTCCGCGAATCGCCCTCCACACGGCACTCAACAATCCTTACTATTATCTAAAGGTAGGAAGCAAATTTAATTAGGTAGACGCGGGGATCAGAGGTTCAGTCCCCGGTCTGCCATGCCAGCCCTGCCCCCAGGGTGTGCTGAGACTGTGATTGAGACTGGGCATGGTAGCATGCGCCTGTAATCCCAGTGCTTGGGAAGCTGAAAACAGAATCACTACAAGTTGGATCTGTGTAGTGAGACCCTATAGACCCTGCACTAAATACAAAAAATAAAAATAAAAGAAGCAAATTTAGTTCTCTGACAGCAGGGGTTCCAAGCTTTATTGTTACAGAGTATTGTAAGTTTGCAGTTGTGTTTTAATGAGCAAAGAGTTGAAAACTACAGTTGCACCTCTTGTATATTTTGTAAAAATTATTTGGAGGGAATTTTCTAACCTCTTGAAGTAGCCAGTTGATGTTGCCACGTTTTGACCATGTAAAAATGTCTTTGCCTTTCATTTGATAAAACGATAAACTAGGTCATAAGCAGAAGACTGAGAGTAGGCTACTTAGTCTTGTGAAAATAAAGGAAATGTTTCCTGCAGACATAGCAATCACAAATGGTCAAACAATATGGCCTGATGAAATTACTAGACTCAAATGGTTGTTTCTAATGGAAAAAAAAAAATAAAGCTTTTGGATGTCATCTTGGATTTTGAACCAAAGAGAATCTATTTTGAGAGTATCTGCAGAGCTGAGTATAGGAAATGGCCAGCAGTCTTGCCACAGAAATGCTTGAGGTAGCAGAGCTACTTGCCTAAAATCCAGCCACAGCTACGAGTCACCAAGAGCTCTTTCTACAAGGGAGATGATGACAGTTTAGTGTTTTAAAACTAGCCTTCTTATGACCAAGTAATATAAGCACTGTTAAACATTCAGGATGTCGTGTGATAGATGAAATAATTTGGGTGGAGTTGTGAGTTTCCATCTCACTCACAAGTACCCAGAGGTAACTTCCCACAGAGGACACCTAAGACACGCTCACTTTGCAGCACACAGGTAAGAGACTTAAGCGGTGGCTCCATGAAACCCATGAACAACCCAACTTCCTGATTTTGTCCTGGGAAGTGGCACACGGGCCTACTCGGTATTTTAAGAGAGTACCGAGTGCAAAATGGTCAGTGTTCTTTAATGATGGTGGTAACAGATAGCTGGAATGAGTTCATATTTCAAACAATTATTTTCAATCTATAAATCACAAATTAAAACTGTTATGTCGCCATCTTTCTTCTGGCTAATGTTGGGTCACAGAATAAAACTGGTAGGATTTTGGCGGTCTTTGTGAAGATATATTATCTTGTGCAGGTTGTGTATGTGAGACTTTATTATTACTGTTTATTTTAGTGCAAAGTCTACAGGGTTTTACTATAGAAATCGGACTCATAGTGATCCTCCTGTTATCAGTCTCCCAAGCACGGTCAGTCTCATTTGCTGGTCTCAGCATGCCCCAGGAGCAGGGCCAGCACAGCATGTTGGGCTTTGAACTCTGGTCCTTGTGCCTGCCTAAGCAGGTGCTTTAGTCTGCTGAACTATCTGGCTGGCCCTCTTGTGTTTCTTAATAAGAGCCATGGATTTTAAATAGGTAAAAAAAAAAACCTCTGGTATTTTCTGTAGAGTTTAAGATCTGCATTGTTGACAATATAGCCTTATCTTTGGGAGACAATTTATGCTTTTATAGTGATTGTAGTAATTGGTAGAATTTGGCTAATTACAAATGTTCTAAGTACCATTCATTAACTATTTCGATAGAATCGTGTAAGCTTTTTATGATGATCAGAACTGCATTATGGTCTAAGTTAAATAATAATTTATGATTAAAAGAAAAATTTTACTTGTCTTCTGATCTTATATTTTTCTGATGATAAGGAATTAGAGGGGTTTTGATCAGAAGCTAAATCTAAGTAAGAATTTAATAGAGGAAATCAAAATCATTCTGTTTACCAGTTTCCTAAATTTAGGTGTAGAGGGCTTCACCAATGTCTGACTTTGTTCCTAATCATTTCTAATACTATTATGTTTTAGAATGAAGCGCTGAACAGTGAAGAGGGCTGCATTCCAAATATCGCCCCTGATATCTGCATAGCGTATAAACTGCACTTGGAGTGTAGTAGGCTGATCAACCTTGTGGACTGGTCAGAGGTAGGTCAAGGGGAAAAAAGCAAGCTGCTCGATAATAGTCTTGGAATATTTGTATACTTTCGGCATTTCTGAAATCTTTTTTACATGGCTCATCTTTTATTGCAAAAGCATAAGTTGCATCATACTCCAAAAGACCTGTACAAAGTAGCACTCAACAGTCCTCCAATTCTGCTGTTCTCTGACGTGCATTCTTCAACCAAGCCCATTCTCCATTCATGCCAGGTCAAAATTTTAATATATGGTCTAACCTCATAGCATTCAACAAAGAAAAAAAACAATTTAAGGGGCCGTGGAGATAGCTCAGTAGAATAGGCGCTTGCCTGGCAAGCTCAAGGCCCTGAATTCAACCCCTGGTACCACAAGAAAAAAAAAAAAAAAAAAATTTTTAAGACAGCTCTATGGTATTCCATGGTTAATTATAGTACTACCTAGTTTCCCTTCTTGCATAAAAGAAGTTGGAATGACAGATTTAGTGATCAGAAAGTACACGAAATATTTGGCAAGACAACTGCCAGCTGCTGTTATTCTTTAAAACAAGTATCTGTATTTTTCCCCTCAGAATCATGTTACAAAGCTCTGGACTCTTGCAGTGGCCCTATTTAGCAGATACAATTGAAAAACAGTTGTCATTGCTGCCTTCAAAAAAAAAATAGGCATTCTGCTGGGGTAGGCAGTAAAGGGTTTGGGGCTTTCTTTGACTAGCTTTGTTTCTCCTTTTGTTTGCATAGTTCTTAGTTCTCTGAAACAAGATTATTAGGGAACCATGACATTATCTTTCAGTGTATAGCTTGTCTTAAATGACCATCAGTGTTAAGGATTTGATACAATGAAAAAAGAACTGTGCCAGCCAGCTATGGGCAGCAGCAGTGTTAAACCTGGCTTAATTATACAACCATCAAAGGTAGTGTGGTAAAAGATGTTTGGCAACTATGAGATTTTTATTTTCTCCTGTTTTGTGTACCCGAAAGGCTTTTGCAACAGTTGTGACAGCTGCTGAAGAAATGGATGCAAATTCGAAGGCCTCAGAAGAAATGAATGAAATAATCCAGTATCCTTTTAAAAGCCAGTTTTATAGTGTCCACGTACAGAGTATAAGATTATAGTGTCTCAAGTTAGAGCTTTACCTCAGTTGTAGAACATGGGGTTTGCAGGTTTGGTTCCCAGCACCAAACGAAGTTTATAGTTTCTCCAGATCTCCACTAGAGATTCATAAAAACAATTTAATATTGATACATCATCCCAGAATACCTTAAATTTCTAAAATTCTTAATCTAAAAGGAGATCAGGGCCGGCCAAATAGCTTAGCAGATTAAAGCACCTACAAGCAAGCACAAGGGCCAGAGGTTTGATCCTGGGGCCTGCAGTGCTGTCCCTGCCCCCGGGGCACGCTGACATGCAGTTAAGACTGGGCATGGTGGCACACGCCTGTAATCCCAGCTCTTGGGAGGTTGTAACCAGGCAGATCACTATGAGTCCAATCGAATAGTGAGACCCTGAATACCCTGTAGACACTTCCCTAAAAATACAAAATAAATAAATAAATAAATAGAAGACCAAATTTAAAGTAATTGATAAGATGATATTCCAAAATTTGCCAAAAATAGAACTTTCATTATTGAATTCTCTTATTTTTAGAATGTATTTTAGAAGTTAAGATGATGGGGCCGGGGAGATGGCTCAGTGGAATAAGCGCTTCCTTGGCAAGCGCAAGGGCCTGAGTTCAATCCCTGGTTCTGCAAAAAAAAAAAAAGTTAAGATGGAGAGCATTTTTTATATTATGTGAAAAAATTACATTTAGGTATTAAGGACTTTTTCATTTGTATCTTATTGACACTGGATTCTAATTACATTTACTGTTTTCCAGTAAAAATATAATACAGCCAATTTCCTTAACTAGAATCTCCAGTGCTCGGTTTATTAGAGCTGTTTCTGAACTAGAACTTCTAGGATTTATAAAGCCTACCAAACGGAAGACTGACCATGTGGCCAGGCTAACATGGGGCGGCTGCTAAAATGCCAGTAGGTGAAGCTACAAGGATTACATTTAGCTGAAGAGAACCGTGAGCCAGTCATGTTTATATGCCACTAGAGGAGTCTATTTTCATGAGAAAAATGTGCAGTCCCTTTATAGTGTTTAAGCAGAAAGTACACTGCTAACCCCAAACAGGTGTATATTAAAACTTTGGAGTAGTTTAGACTCCCACAAATAACATGCTTAAATTATAATTAAAGCCTCTCATACATTATTGCACTTTCCAGTCATTATTACGAGTAAATCATCTTGATCATATATATGAATATAATTTCTTCATCCAGCAATTGGGTAGCTGTTCAACTCATTCCACCTCTCATTTTTTGCACTGACTGGCATTTGTCACTTTAGTGCCTCCAGTAACATGAATGTCCTACAAGTTTGTTTCTTGTTGTGATCACTAGACTGCTTTCGCCTCCCTGTTTCTTTTAGTCTTAAAACTTGCCAGGTCCCAAGCTGGTTGGCCTTCCACTTACAGAGAATAAGTATACTTGTGGATGACCCATCATGGAGTCTTAACTGGCAGTAAAAATAAATTTGTTTTGTGAAATCAACGAGTGCTTGATTTATCTTTCTGATAATTACTCATTATAGTTGCTCAGTACTTGAATCATTCTCCTTCAGGCAAATGTGCCCTTAACTATGTATTTTTGTATAATGGTTGCTAAAAATCCAAAGAATATCCACATGGTTTTAAGGATTTTCTTCTGTCTTTTGCCTAATTAAGTGAGGCAGTCAGCCAAAGGCAAGGTTTCCATATGGTATGTTAATGAGGGTATTATCCATATATACAGGTAGCTTCTTCCAGTTTTCAACTGCAAGCACTATATGAAATTTAGACACCATTTCTTAAACAATATTCATACAGCAGAGGCTTACAGTGTAAGAGACAGAGGAACTGGCCTCAGAAAAACCCAGATTCAATTCAACTTAGGTACAGGTTTCCAGAGGTAATTAAGTAGCCCTGCTTTTTCTTTTGTATTACTGGGTTTTTAAACCGAACTCATGCAATCTAAGTGCATGTCATGCAGTGAACCGTGTTGATTCTCTTGTCTTACTTATAGATGAAAACAAAAGCATGATAGAAACTGCCCTATTTTCATAATGAATACCCAAAAGGAAAATGAAATGAAATGAAAACATGAAACTAATTTGTGATAATTATCAGTGGAGCCTATGAAATAGCAGTTTTGTTTTGCTTTAATCCAGGAAAATGGACAACCTCAAGCAGAATTTACAAATGGGGTATTCTTACTCATTATGTTTAATGAAAGAATGCTGTGGAAACTGAATTAGTTGAGTTTGATTCTACTGTGCTAGGCACTGTTCTAGGCACTTGCGGTACTTCAGAGAACAGGCATTTGCTTTCATTGTACTCTAGCAGATCAGAGAATGTGAAGATTATAGCAGAGTAACAGTGGTGTTAGGAGGAGCAGGATGTCAGGTAATTTTAAACAAATAGAGCTTTCAGGGTTTTTTTTAATATATTTAATACAGGGTCTCACTACCCAGATCAGACTCGTAGTGACTCCTGTTTTCAGCCTCCCAAGTGCTGGGATTACTGACGCATGCCTCCACACCCAGTCTCATCTATCAGTCTCAGCAGGCCCCCCTGGGGCGGGGGGGGCGGGCTGGCATGACACACCAGGGATCAAATCCTGGAGCAGGTGCTTTATTCTGCTGAGCTATCTGGCTGGCCCTAATTTTAAACATTTGTCAGAATAGGCCTCACACTAAGATATCATTTGAACATTTCCAAAGTGATCAAGGAATGATCCGTGAAAGCAGTGAGTGACGAGGGGTCCTGGAGGATTTTTCTTTTTCTTTCTTTTTTGGCAGAACCAGGGATTGAACTCAGACCCTTGTACTTGCCAGGGAAGCGCTTATTCTGAGCTATCTCCCCTGGCCCCCAAAATGGAACTTCTCAGTGTGCCCCAAGGGCAGAGCTGGCAGGGCACACTGGGAATCAAACCCTGTTCCCTGCATCTGCCTAAGCCATCTGGCCAGCCCTTGGGTCCTGAAGCAAAAGAGTGCCAGCCAGACTGGAAGAAGAGCAAAGATGGCCACTGTGGGCAAGATGCAGCAAGGCGACATTCAATTGAACTTAATGAGGAGTGCAGGAAATTTAGGGCTTGTAGGCCATTTTAAGGGCTTTTTTCCCTTAGGAAACCATCTGTAAAAGACCCTTAAATAACTGCTCTAAATTCCATGCAAATAGAAACAGGTAAGGCAAAACAAAGACCAGTTAGGTAATTGCTGCAATTATCCTTCAGGGTTTCAAGGTCAGATGAGTCAAAGATGGATTTGGGCTAAAATAACTAGAAGCTCGGAATTGCCAGTGATTGGCGCTTGCTATGGTTTGAGTAAGTATCCGCCTAAAGTCCATAGTCTCCAGAATAAAGGTGTGGTCCAGGGTGGTACTACTGGGAGGTAGTAGAGCCTTTTTTTTTTTTTTCTTTTTTTAAATGACAGGTTCCCCCCCCCCCACCCAGGATGCCTTCAGGGCAGGTCTGGTTTGGCTTGAGGATGAGGGGATCAAACCACAGCATCCTGAGCCTGACTGCTTAGTTTCAGTAGGCCCCCTAGATCCTTTTAAGAGGTGGGGACTAGTGGGAGGTTGGTTGTTAGGTCACTGGAGTGTGCCCGAAGGGGAATTATGGGAGCCTAGCCAGGCCTCCACCTGTTTGCTTCCTGGCTAGTGTAGTGGTTTTGCTCCACCGTATGCACTCCTGCAATGGTGCACTGCCTTACCACTGACCCAAAGCAGTGAGACTGATTTATACATGACAGCATCTAAAATGTTGGGTCAAAATAGACAAGTTTTTGACCTCCCTAACGTATTTTGTTAGAAGTTATCTAACATAGTATTTCATTATATTGACAGCTAGTACTGAGATGCCTGAGAGAAAACAAAAATAAGGAGTTAGGTTTAAGCCATAAATTTTGAGATGTCACATAGGTACAGATATGTTCTGCTCTCCTTGCGAAAGAAGTGAGATGAAAAGATGAGGCAAGCTCTGGGACATGCAAGGAAAGAAAGATTGGTCCAGGAGGGAAATACTGAAGAGCAGCTAGAAAAGGAAAAGCCAACAAAAAGTTTCCAGGTAAAATGCTACTTGTTGATTGAAAGCAATTTAGAAGTCTTTAGTGATGATAGTAATGGAGAAGTCAAGACCTAAGCACATGCCCAAATTCAACATTCACCCTGGAAAAGCCATATATCGTATATGACAGCAGACACCGCAAAGCATCCCTTTTCACTTTTGTACTCAAAAGGTTTAACCTGAAAACTCAGCCTTTAGGCCTCATTTCTGGTTTATAGCAAGTTCAAAGTGAGAGCACAAATACTCAACTAGATAGTCCTGGGTGTTTTCTAGAACATTGGAATCGTAACTGAATCCCAACAATGAGAAGGCTGTGAAAAACATTGTGGTGACAAATTTTAAAAAACTGAACATGGAATGTTCATTTTATGTTAAAGTAGGGGAAGTATTTGTAAGTGGGATAATGGTCCTGAGCTGAAGTATATGATTCTAGGGAAATACAGGTGTAATAGCTGTTCAGCTTAAATGGATCATTAGGAAGACATCCAACTTTTCCACCTATAAATTTTATCCTAAAGCAAGTTGAAAAATTTGGAGTGGAAGTTGATGAAAAGATGTTTAGAAAATTCTTGAGTTTTGTTACAAAGGATAATAGTAAAACAAAGAGTAATAGTTGGAGGAGGAACACAAGTAGTTTTGGGTTTTGTCTTTCTGGTTTCTGCCACACTCAAGATTGAACCCAGGGTGTCACATGTTAGGCAAGCACTTTACCACACCTGTAGCTGAAACCTTCCCCTTTTTGAGACAGCATCTCATTAAACCAAGGTGGCTTTGAACTTGTGATACTCCTGCTTCAGCTTCTGCCAGGCTCAGCCTCAAAAGATTTTACTTACATTCTTCATGCATGTGAGGATGATACAGTATGAAATAAAAGTCCAACAAGACTACTAGAGCCATGACTGAATGAGATGTGAGGGTTTGCATCTAATGCGCCCCATCTAGAGCAGATGCAGCGATGCGTAAAGGCAGAATTGTGCTCTCAGAATTTAGGACCAATTAAGGAAGCTTCCTAAGTTACTGATTTACTGCAAATTTTACAGTAAATCAGTTTAGAAATCATTTTTTCTCTTGATATTTTAAACCTCCAGTATTTATTTTACTCACATCACCTACTTTTTCCTCAATACAAAGAATAGTACCTACCTGCACATGCCCTTCTTAATCCAGGATTTCCTGGACAGATTAAACAATTAATACTACCATGTCATGACTTTTAGTAAAAGATGACTGTCAACTAAATTCTGAGTATCTACTTAAGTCACCAACTATTAAATCCATCTAACTGTATACCAATCCAGGAAACACACACATTTTACTATCTGCAATTATACTACTGTAGGGAAATAGTGCAATAGTACCCTGTAACAAGGGCTTCCTGGTGAAACTGATAGGCAAGAATTTGCTAGGGAAGTGAAACTTTTTTTTTTTTTTTTTAATGTATTAGGACAGTCTACAGGGTCTCACAACGTAGATCAGACTCATAGTGATTCTCCTGTTTTCAGCCTCCCAAGTGCTAGGATTACAGCTGCATGCCACCACACCCAGTCTCAATCACCCTTTCAGCATGCCCCAAGGGTGGGGCCAGCAAGGCACGCTGGGGTTGAACCCCAGCTGCTGTGCTCTGCCTAAGCAGGTGCTTTAGTCTGTTGAGCTATCTGACCAACCCGGAAAACTTATTTTTGATCAAAGCTGGGTCTAGAAACCCTATAATGTAATGCTCCATTCAGATTGCCAGCACTTACTCTTCTAGTACCCTGCAACTATAAAATCCAGCTCTCACAAATATGTGTCTGTAAAGATTTACATATGCTTACCAAGAGTATTTTGTCCTTACTAGAACAAACATGTTTGCACTCGCTCTCCTCCCATGTCTATTTTTACTGTTTGCATTCTCTTACAGCTGCTATCCCAGTAAGCCAGGAGCTATCAGCTGGGACCACTGTGTCCACTGAGGAGCACCTTGGCAGTATGGAAGCACTCAGTTGTCACAAGTTGCAGGGAGAGAAGAAAAAGGTTAGAGAGGATGCTAACTACCCTGTAACACAGGTGCGGCCTCCGCAACAGAGAATGACCTGGCCCAAAGTGCTAACATCATGGAGACTGAGAATCTCTGTGCTAAGTCATTAGAAGTAGATAAATAACATTATAGCCACCCTGTGCTATATAACCAGTGTTCCTCAAATACTTAGTGGACATACGGAACCTGGCAATCTTGTAAAAAGCCCTCACCACTTTGAGAGCTTGTTTAAAACAAACAATTGGTAAAATACAATTAGAAATGTTGAAAAACTACTTTTCTTGTACTAATGCAGTCAATTATGAATGTGTTAGGCCTAGTACATTTAAGGTGTATGTAATGAGGGAAATAGGCTATTAGAATTCCACAAAATTCACTGTGAATTTTTTTTTTTTTTTTTTTTTGCTTACTTCATTACAAAAAGCCA